TGACTGTGACCTGTCCAGCCCAGTGCTCACACCACCTACCTGACCCCTGGATGTCCTGACTGTGACCTGTCCAGTTCACTGGCCAGGAAGCGTCTTTCTTGCCTCATCCTACGTTCTCTAGCCAATTGCTTGGATACCTGGCAAATTAATGAAATTTTATAAACTGCTGCAGGTACCATATTATAAATTAAAGATCAATGACCATACAAATGACTTGCAGGCATCACAAAAAAAAAGTATCAATGGATAATATGTACTATGTATGTTGGAGGAAGACAGTTCAATCTAGCACAAAATGAATATATAATAATAATAATCATGAAATTTCAGAACATCTCAAACATTAAAAAAAAATTCTCTGTTCTTTAAATACTGTCCATGTGACCTATCACAGATTAATTCAATTAACTTCAGTGGCGTATTCAGTGTTATTCTGAAGTGTTTAAGTCACTTCATATTTTCACAGTCACCTGTGTAGCAGCATCTTTGGCTCGTGACTCTGCGTCTCTCACACGATTCTCCATCTTCTTAATATTGTTGGTATACTCTAAAACAAGGTTTTCTGCCTGAAATGACCAATAAACTGTTCAATTGACTTAAATAAGTAAATAAACTATTTAATTTTTAATCATTTAACAACTGGTTCAATGAATATTGGGAATGGCTGACTCTGGTCACATTTCAAAATAGCCTGTCTTACTTGAAACCAAAATCAATCTTTCAGCAAATACATACGAGGAAAATGGGTGGGTAAAACCTCCTGAAGAACCTTTGCAACTTTTTTTTTTAATTATGGTTATATGCACCACCCAGGTCTTAACATGATGAGCAAGACTTTAAACAAGTAAATCATATCTGAATCAAATACCTGTACAGTTTTTTCTTTGCACTCTTCCAGGAGCCTAGTCAGCTCCTCTGCTCTGCGCTTCAAACGGCCATTTTCATCTCGCAGATCTGTTATTTTGCCTTCAAATTTTTGGCTAATTGCTTGGCATTCTTCTTTCCATCTATTAATTAATTTTAAATTAGTAGAAATAAATGCAAAATGCTTAGGACACTTATTACCATTATTAGACAAAATTTCCCAATTCTATAAAGTAAATGTAAAAAGTGACAACAAATTCATAGCAATCTTTCAAATGTCGTTTAATTTTAATTTTAACACCTTATACTCCATTTTTTTTTCAACTGTTGATTTTTCTTTTTCTTATGTGCTGATTATTTTCAAAAACATTTTCCTCTTTACTCACTTGGCCCCCATTCTCTGTTGCTGTAACAGCATATTCCTGAGTTCTTTGGTGGACTGTCTGTGTGCATCTTCCATGCTCTGCATGCGCACTTCACACTCACGCTCCTTCATCAGCTGCTCCTGATCTCGTAAGGTAAGCTGTAGAAAATGAAAGAAATTGAACATTTTATCTCTGAACAAACCAAAAAATATCATAAATGTCCTATTTATTTCAAAGTATTTATTATTAGTCATTTAAGAAAAAAATTATGAGTGGATGACTATAATCCTGTTTTTTCTTCTAAAAAGTTTGGTTTTTTGTTAAAATATCTCAAGAGATTATAAGAGTATAGCTGTCAATGGAGGTCACATGGTCTGAAGACAAGCTCAGATATCAGAATAATAGCTATAACTGCTGTTTTTGTCGTAAAACCGAATTTATTATATTTCTATGAGTTATTCACAATGTTTTTATTGTGAAATATAGACCTCATACAAAGAGTTATTATCCCTAAAACTGAGAGCCCCGATTTTTTTATTATTAATTATGAAGATGTCTTTTAATTCTATCTTCAAATGAAAATTGTTAATGATATAAGCCATCTAAAAATCCCTCTCTCCTCTCCACTTCCCTCCCCCAAAAAATCCCTTCACATCCAATATCACACAGTTCACATCAAAAATCTCTCATAAAATATATAAATTAATCACCTCTTTGCTACATTTCCTATCTGCAGCTTCTTTTTCTTTCTGTGCCTGCTGCGTTTTTCTTTTTAACTTATCAGTTTCGTCGAGCAGTTTCATACGCTCTTGGTTGACGTCCTCAAATTCTTGTGACATTGTTGTCACACGCTCACGTAGCTGATCAATTTGCATTTGAAGTTGTGATTTCTCCTGAATGTGACTGAAAAATTAGACACATTAAGCTTTATATCTGAAAACCATAGAACCCATAAGAAATATTCAAACCCAAAATCCTTCAATATTAAAACTGACTCAGGTGGTACATTTATCAATTTAAGCAAGTTCATTATCTAAGAAGATCACAAATGCACTAACAATGCTTATAACTTTTATACACGCATAGAGCGAGAGATACTAAGTGCTCAAAGTGCTTTGGTAGCATATGAGAAATGTATATGAATCAAATGCAGGACCTTACATAGCAACTAAATGACATTGCAGTTTCAACCTGAGACTGTTTACCTGTAATGACCTGTAATGACCTGGATGGACTGGTCTCCAGATTCATTGACATTTATACAAATTTCTCATTCTAATTCTACTGGATGACTAAAAAAAACATTCACTCATTTGCTTCATAACATACTTCATCTCCATTCTCTTCACATTCCCCTGCAGAGACTCCAGCTTAATGACAGCTTCGTCCCTGAGAGTTTCGGCTTGACAAGCTCTTTTGTTCAACTCCTCATAGTTTGCCTGCTCCTTGCTTCCCATCACCAGGCCTTCCTGATACAGCTGTAGGGAGGAATTAAATAGTGATTCCCCACTAGTTCTTTCTCATAAATGGAAATGGTGTGTGTGTGTGTGTGTGTGTGTGTAAACACATCACTGTTTTTACACAGACATGTTGCTTTGATTAGTAATTAGTCATTTATAGCAACATAATTATATCTTAACATTTTAAGTCATGGAGAAAGAAATGAAGTTGACAATTCAATTTATCAAACAATGCTCTAGTCAGTGGTATCTGCCATCTTTCATTTTCTTGTTAATGCTTTATAGACTTTAAATCTCTGTTTCAACATAAAATCCAGCATTAGATTTTGTTTTCTCATTATCTCAGTAAGAATCAAAATATTCACTTTGATGTGTAGACAAAAGTTTAAACACAGTGGACAGAATAATAAATGAAGTATTGCAAAAGATTATTTCTTATATTTGTTACCACTGCGTAGTTTGTAACATACTTTTTCTAGTTCAGACTCCACTGCTCTCTTCTCTCTGATAGCTCTTTCAAGTTGGGCTTGCTTCTCACTGTTGTCCTAAAAAGAGGGGGAAAAAAGATTAATGAGCTGCTGTCTTCAGGTCACCTCACTAAATAAAAACCTATGACTGTTCAAACATACAACAGGACACTACAAGTTTTTTCCCCAATAAATTAGAATGAATAAATGTTGTAATTTCCCACAAATGGTGTACACAGTTTGTTTGTATGTGCAATACAGTATACGTGTGTAAGATATTGCAAGTGATCCAGGTTGTTGCCTATAAAATTATGTGTATAAAAATAAGTGAATGTATGCCTTTCAGTATCCAAAGTCTGTACTAAAACCTACCATTTCCATATTCTGAAGTTCTTCCATGAGTTTGGCAATATTGTTATTGCACTGCTTACGGATATTTTCCACCTGAAAGAAAAAAGGGAGACTCAGCTCCTTGCTTTATGTCACTTTTTCCTAATTTGATACTTTAATTGTATATATTATATAACTTAGTAGATAAGAATTTTAGTCATTTTTCTGATTCAAACAGCCTTCAATGTTTTTTTTTCTTCTTTTATTTGTTTATTTTTCATGTGCATGTTCCATTTTTTCTTGCTTATTTTTTTCTTTTCTTTCCTTTTCCAACAACACCATCAAACTCATTACACAAGGGATTTTTTATATCAGCCACAATAAACAACCACAGTATATATACACACACATATCACTAAGACCTACTGGCATGGCACTGATCTCCCAGTTTACTAACCTCTTTCTTGGTCCTGAGGCCAGCCTCATCTATCAGTTTACTCATCTGGTCCTGTAGTCTCTGGTTTTCTTCTGTTTGTTGCTGTTCTCTGAGCAGAGCCTAGGAAAGATGGAAGAATGACCAAACAGGCTTAAAGCATTTGTATTTAATCCACTAAAAACCTTGCAAATGCAAAGAAAATCACTATTTCTTTGATTTACATTTTCCCCAGAATATTATATCTATCAAAACTGGCTCCCTAAAGAATTTTTTCAAACAGTGACAATCAAATTATATAATCTTGCTTGAAATAACTATTTAGATATTATAAATCAATAATTTTATTGAAACTGAAAGAGAAAAAGATGGGTTAATTTCATACCTGATCTTTTTCTAACAAAGCATTCTCTGCCATTTGAACATTCTCCCTGTTTTGCAAATGAAATTCATACTCCTTTTGCTCCAGATCAGAACTGAAAGGGATTTTTAAAAATAATATTAATGAAATTTACCATAAATCTTTCAAATTTAATTTCCTTCTATGATTTATTTCTCACTGATTTATTAGTCTTTACAAAATGCCACATGTCTTCATATTGCCAATTCAAATTGTAAAAAAAAATGATATGATATTATTATAACACTATTTTCAAATAACATAAGTACAATAATGAAAGATGACTTTAAAATACATAAGTATTTCAAAACCACATTTTCTCACTTTTTCTTTTGAAGCTCTGTTAGTTTTTGGTCCAGTTCTGTCTTGTCCTTTTTAAGCTGATCCACCTCATAGTTCTGGGTAGACAATCTATAATACAAACACAAATACTGAAAATATACTAAAAGATCAAACAAAAAATGAAGTATCATTTCATCAAAATAAGTGAAAAATCAATTCAGTGTTATTCTGTGATGTCTGCCACAATTGATCTGAATTAAATTTTAGATAAACCTTGAAGAGAGTTCTTACATCTTAATTTTTGCAAATGAAGTTTCAGTGCACAATGTACAAATATCAGTATGAGTTTGTATTAAAGCTTTTCTTTCAAGCAAATCAAATTCCACATGTAATACACAGTATAATTAAACTGTATAGTAATAATTAGCACTTGGAATTGAATGACACCAAAATTAAAAAAATATATATATGAACTAACTTTGATTCTAGTTCAACTATAATCTCCCTCATTTCCGTCTCCCTGCTGTCAGATGTCCCTACTCTACGGATTGCGTCGTCTCTCTCCTGTTCCCTCTTCAGCAGTTCTTGTCCCAAGACTTCCAGTGTCTGCCGCAGTTCTGCTGCCTGCATGTTGGCTGTTCTACCCTCATTCTTGCTAACTCTGCAACAATTGATATTAAAAAACCTGTATTTGACAATAAATACAACATTTTAATATATACTGGTTGCTGTGAGTAACTCTGCACAGGGTCACTAATGCAATTTGTTAAAAATCTTCATCGTAGGGATATTATTGCAATTATGACTTGGTGGCTATATTCTTTTGGGGAAGGTTCATGAAGACCCATCTTTGAATGCATATAGGACCACACAGTAACAAATGGTAAAAAGTCCAAAACTGCAACATGTATTTTTTTTCACAGACTATACCTTTCTTTAAATTCTTTAATCAGTTTCTTTGATCAATTGTTTATACCTCAGCTGTTCCTGCAGGGATTGCACTTCAGCAGTCAAATCTGCCACTGCTCTGGTATACTGCTCCTTCACCTAAAACAGGACAAACTTATAAATAAGTAACATTAAATATAAACCCAAGCCTAATATACATTGTTTTTCCATCTCTTACATTTTACTGGAAAACTTGTGCCTACCAATTTAGTTAAATTTTAAGTTAATGAAAAGAAAAAGGTTTGAAAGGAGAAAGGGTGTTATAGAAGTAAAAATACTTTGGGACAGTTCCACTGGAGATGTTTTAGAAAAGTATGCCTATGATTTTTTTCTTGGTGCAGAAGTGGCAACACTTGCTTATCAATCTGGTGGCCTTGAGTCAACCAAATTCCAGCCTAAAGTATTCTTGTTAAAACTAAGGATAAGATTGCAACTCATTTGCACTATTAGATAT